AGAGTGTTTGACAATTATAAAAACTACTTAAAATAAGTCAAAAGTTAAAAGTAAGGTGACCCTACTTCTTTTTTTTAACTTAAAAGTCATTCTTCTTTGACCAAGTATATTACTTTTTTACCCTTAATTCTTTTAAACAATTTCCAAATTCTTTCAATTCAAATTATATATTTTTTAAATTTAAAATTAACTTAAATATTAAGTTATTGAAACTGAATTAAAATATAAATTAATTTTGTTTTAATTATTCTTAGAAATAAAAACCTTAGATTAATCAAATTTTTTATTATGTTAACAATTTTAAGGGTATTTCAGACATTTTGATAAAAAAAAGTTTTTAACAACACTTATTTGGCAAACACATTAACAATTTTTTTTCAATTGCAATACTTTTATCCAAACACATTACTACTTATTTTTAAAATAACTTTCAACACTTTAAAAAGTTGCTTTTTTAAGTCAATCCAAATGGGCTCTTAGTTGTTATATGGACGAAAGTTTATATGCAAATTATGTTGTCACACATTTTTTGGCGATATGTATTCATACACTTGGTGTAGTCATTCGCAGGGGCGGAGGCAGCATATAATGAGGGGGTTCAACCCCTCGACGAAAAATATTACTATTTATACATGGTTAAATTATTTTTAGGTATGTATAATAGATGTCGAACCCCTTTCACTAGTTTGTGTGTTTACTTCTCAGATTTTAAACTCCCTTATTAAATTTTTTGGCTCCGCCAGGAAAAGATAAACCCAAGCAAAAAGTGATAATTTTCTTTATCTCATTAAAGAAATCAGTATTGTCATTAGCGGCTAAACCTTAATTACTGTTATATAAATTTGGGATCTTACTCGTTCTAACCATCCTTACAAATAAACTCATAATTTGTAATGTTTGAATTCCACTTGTCTCATGTAATCATGCGCAGTATGATATGACATATAGTCATACTCAGGAAAAATAATGTTGTTCATTTCCAAACAAACAGAACTTTAAAGAAACAAAACAACCTTAGAGAAAAAAATACAATTTGTCAACAAGAAGAAGACAAGGAAAATACCCAAAAACAGAATGAAAAAAAGAAAGATTAACAGCTAACACAATGCAATTGTTGCTTAATTAGTGCCTCCAAGCACACCCTTAAGTTTCTTAATTGTTGCTTCATCAAGGAATGTTGTTGCCCCAACCAACTTAGTTGGCAAATCATTAGCAAATAATGCAAAATCAGTAATCTGAAGTCCAGGATTAGAGCTGCTAAAAAATACATAACCCACAGAAGTATATCCAGCATCACTCACTTGAAAATGCAATAATCCTTGTGGAAAAACCATTAAATCACCTTTTTTAAGTGTTTTTAAATAAACAGAATTTGCTGATGAAACAAATCCAGCAGTAATTGATCCTTGCACCACAAGTAAAATTTCAGAAGCACCAGGGTGAGTGTGAAATGGGATCACGCCACCTGCGGCCAAATCTAAACGGGCCGCAGAAATCCCAAGCCCATTAACACCTGGAAATTGGGCCGCAAATGCTGGGGTGACTGCGGCCTTGATAATGCTTGCTGTGTTTCCAGCAGCACTAAGCCCAGAAAACACGAAATCGTCAACTGTTACATTTGTAACACTTTTGCAAGAATAGCCAGAAGGTGATTCGGGTGCTTTTAGGTCTGCCACGCAGAAATCTTGAACAGCGGCATCGCTGCTCAAGATTAAGATAGCCAAGAGAAAGAGGAATTTAAACATTTTTAAAAAAATAATAATAATCTTGGCTAGGATTAGTAAAAATTTGTTATGTGAAGTTTGTGAGCAAGGAAGGTTAGTTTGTATGTGTGTATATATAGAGAGGGAAATGAGTGAGAATTTTGGATATTGAAGTGCAAAAAGGGTAAATTAAATGCCACTTGAATTTCTAAAGGGAATAGTAACCACAAGTTGTGTGATAGGGCTATCGTGAGTGTGTTTTGTCATCTCCTTGGAAATTACGTTCACTAGCCACTTTTTGTTCCTATTTTTTAAAAATAATTAATGTTATCGTAAAGGTATGACATACGGACCTAACTTAATCTCCAGAATTTAGCTCTTGAGAGCAAGATTGTCCGAATTCAAATAAGTAAACCACCAGTTTATTCCCTAATTAATGTAGGACTGTAATCCACTCTAACAAGCTTATTAGGAAATTCACTATGCGCTACTCACATTAATAGAATATTATAGCAATCTAACTTTTATTTGTGTTTGTGTGTCTTCAAACTATCTTTAATTGGTAAAACTTCTCGAAATTATGGGCAAAGTCAGTCCCCAAATACAACTATGTGATATTGTTCGTTTTTTGTTAAACCAACGCAGCTTTTCAAAAAACATTACGGTATTAAGAGTAGCCCTAGACCTTATACGTAGTTTTTTCTTCTTCTTTTTTTTCAGCTATCACTACAGCACAACAAAACATTTTCAGTTGAAGAAATTGACAAAATAGGGAAAAAGAATAGAAACAAGGAGTATCTTTTTGGTGTTATATACATTATTAGATTATTAAGAGGTGATGTGATTTTGGGATATTTTGATTTTCAATTTGATAGGTCCGACCTCAATCATCGAAAAATCATTTCAAAGAGTAATGATCGCTTAGTGCATTGTTTTATCATGGCAAGATGTTTCTCTTCTATATTTTTCTCACAATACAAATGATATACAAAGTTCAATGGGGGCATCATATGGCCTTTCTTTAGGCCACTTTTCTAATTCTAAAATTAATTCTAACGGGGTTTAGTTTCGCCCTTGAAAATTGTTATTTTTTTTTATGTAAATAAATTTAACCAAGTGAACTAATAGAGACATATATAATTTAAATAAAAAACTCAACAAAGGCGAGTATTCTTGAGCTGAATGTCAATCAAAAATAACATTCACCATCCTCTTTTGTGGAACACACCGAGTATGTTATTGTTGTAAAAAAAAAGAGGCAAGTATTGCAAATGCCCAAAATGTGAGGGAGTTGATTTATTGAAAGTGGTCCTAATTTAGGGCACATGGTGGGAAAAAGTAAGGAAAAGGAGAAGTCTATAAGAAGACATATGCTGACAGCTCGAATCCAGAAAGGCATCAAAGAGATAGTTGTAAGATATATGTATGCATAATAATGCAATATTGTAACTTCCTTATTAACTAGAAAAGGAATTATGTGGACAATAGCAATTGTCTTTCCACTAAAGAATATTGATCACCATTGAAGTCATATACACAAGAGGACAAACTAATTAGGAGAAAATTTTAGCATTGATTGACGTGTGATATGGTGCAATGCTACCTTGTATCCAGGGCGGAGTTGGAAATTTGAGTTTAAGGATTTTTTAAACACAAAAACTATTGAATTATGTCGATCTATTAACAGAACTGTAGCACATAATATGTTGTGCTGTTATTCAAATTATTTATGTAGCACATAATCCTCAACCATCTTTTAGGACCGTTTTCTTGTTGGTTAGCTACGAAGATAATTGTTCATGAATTGAAAATAACATGTTTGATAGTCATTTAGTACATCGCTTTGTATAAAATTTACATACTAGGTACGGCCTTTGATTATCATTTTACAATCCCACATAATTAAAATATCTATAAGTATGAATCAATTGACGTTCGTATTATTTTACAAATGGTACATAGAAGATGCGAAATAACTAGTAAAATGCAAAATTTCTTAAATAACTAATATCTACCTAAATCTAATAAGAATTCTGTGGAATAGTGTTCTCAACAAACATTGACCCTCTTCCAAAAGTTATATCCTAGGAAGTGTGCAAGGAAAGACAAATGGGATAATTGCAAGTTACAAATAAAAAATATTTTGATTTTTGCGCACAAATGTACAAATGTAATAGGAGTATCTAATAATAATAATAAATGGTGCACCTTCTGAAAAGCCACAACAGATTTGATTTTTGTTTTCGTCCAACATAAAAATATGTTCAAATGTGGTTTGGGCTAATAACATATTACTGGATCAATGGCGCTAAAAGCCTAAAAATAGCTTGTGGATTTCGACAGTATAGGTAAGGCAAACCAAACATAATAACTTAAGGCACAATTGCACAGATAGCCAATTTTATGACACCTATTTAAAGCAAAACGTACAACCACAAAATACTCACCGATAGAGTGTACACAAGCCTTACTATTACCTCGTGGAGGTACATAAGCTATTTCCAATCAGTGGATGTACTTCATATCCAATGAGTAATACTTAAGAGTCTCGTGTGTATGAGAGAGAAGAAGAGCAGCAGTGCTTCTATCTAAAGTTTGTCAATACTCGCTGCTATTAGTTAAATGATTTGAAAAAATTGGATATAGCTTAAATAGCATGTGGGAATCTGGTTATCAGATGCAATTCCTACCTAAATTAAAGACAAATTGAGCTACAAGACTACCTGCCAAAGTACAACCTTTTTGTTGAAACTCAATAGACCACCAAGATATAGATGGAATAATAGAAAAAGCCATTCGTATAATGTCCGTATTTCGGGGTAGCGTTTAATTTTTATTCTTCAAATTTGTTATTTTTAATTTTTGCCATTCAACACTTTCAAGTATAAAAAAAAAAAGAATGACCCAAATATCCTGACATTGAAAAAACAAAAAACAAAATCGCAAGACATGTTTTCATTTTCATATTATAATATAATACAAGTGATGTTACTTGTTTCTACACAACATGAGTTGAAAGAGGCATAAGTTCAATTATAGAACCCACAATAAGAATTATAAACTTTATCCTACAGAATTTATGTCAGACAAGGGCAAGTTCTCTAAATTAGAAAAAATACAACTCATCGAAGATAACTTCATTCCTACAAAGTTTGTGCCGGACAAGGCAAAAGTTCTCTAAACTTATCCCTTGTGACATTAGGTCAAGAAAATTGTAAGACCACTAAAACACATGCCACAATGCACAAAGGAAAAAAGCATTGACACTTCCTCACATTATTACAAAAAGAAACATAATTCAGAATAGATAATAAAGATAACTTGTATTTAGTGATGTTTATAACTGTTCAAGTCAGATACATTCTCTATATATATATAACCAAGTAATTCTGCCTGACAATATTATAGTTATAAATAACTGGTTTTCTTGGTGTTCAATCTCTATGGTACAAATCATCATTGCAGCTCGACAATGAAAAGTCATGCCTCTAACAACAAGTATCCTTGCCTCCCTACAAGCTACAAGGTCCACACCTTACCAAACAGAAAATAGGTAAATCTTTAATGTCCTCCAAAACAAATCCAGGCCACTTCCGTACAAATGATAAATGAGGCAACTTGTCATCTTAAAACTTTCCTTTATCACCTACAATATCAAAGATTAATAGTCAAGAATCCCCATTTTGTAGACACACACTACTGTAATCAAGAAATATTACTTACTAACAAATCCAATTTAAGTTAGTTGGAGCTAATGTCAAACTAAGTTCTACTACAAATTACACACCCCTCATTCATGGAAGCAAGCATCACGTTCTTCTGAAGTTAAAAGAGGATAACTTATGTTCCAGACTCCACATCTTAATCCATTTCTCCAATACCTTTTTCTCCCGGAGTGTTCATCTTCTCACATACCTTTAACTAGTTAGTTGCAGTAAACAGATTAAGAATTCGACAATGATCCTTTGAAATTTCAGTAAACTGGTAAACATACTACTCTATTATTTAGATGTCCAACAAAACTTTATAAGTGAGGTTTCTAAAACAAATCCACCATCTTTATTCTCTTGTAAACAAAACTTTTATTTTTGCAATATAATTATTCTAAGTTATGCTACAAAGGTAAACAACAAGCAACCAAAATATGACCCTGGTTGAGATATGAGCAATCAAGTATAAAAGAAGACTCTCCTTCACATACGCAGATTCATCTATATTTCTCAAAGTAGTGCTAGTTCAGACCTAGATAGGCAGTAAAAAGAAGGGCAATGGCAAATGAATATTAAAAATCACAGTGGATTTTGCAAGATGCTTTGTGCACCGGGCTGCCCCTTTTACAGTAGATTTTGCGAAATTGCAGAACACAAGCCTTTGTGTACTACATTCTACCCTCCCCAGACCTCACTTGTGAGATTTCACTGGATATGTTGTTGTTGTTGCAGAACACAAGCCTCATGACAATATATAGAGAAATATTCCACAAAAAGGAAGCAATGATGCACAGCACATGTAACTTTGAAGCATATCTATATTCAATAACTTTAGATCACTCGTGGAGTCAATCATTACTTTAGGCCCTCGTTAAACGAAAACTTCACCCAAAGCAACAGCTTTAATACAAGGAGGTAAACTACCAAATAATGGCACAGAATAGAAAACATCAATTAGCCGTAGATCATTCACAGAATCATAAGGAAAACTGTAATATTCACAATAAAATGTCAGAAGGAAAATGGACAAAATCACCCCAAAAGGAAAATTGCTAATAATGCCAATCAAGAATTACCAATTTACAAGAGCAAAAACAGAAATGTCGACACCAATCTTCTGCTGAATCCTTAATTTTTGTAATCCATGGAGTGCCATATTCGTTGCCAAATCCGCTGTTCAAAGAATCTCAATCTGTATAACTCTAGCTATATAAAAACATGCTCCACCAGCTATTAATAATTAGTCAAAGAAATTGAAGTAACAACAGATTCATCAAATGGAAATGTGTCTTCAAAATCCAGAATGCGCTTTCAACAATTGCCTTCTCTTGATTATTAAAAACGCCACCACACAGATCTGCAAGATGACGGCAATACCCACAAACATTAACCCAAGTCTCTTCCCCCAATTTAGCTTCGTTTCCTTTTGTGGTGGGCTTAATTTAACATTAGACTTATGGTGGTCTTGAGGGTGGTGTGAATGTTCCTTTTCTGAGGATTTAACCTTGGGAGGAGGTGGCGGAGGGGCTCTTTGATTGGGTGGAGGAGGGGGAGGAGCCAATGGTGAAGGTGGGGGAGGGGGAGGCGGAGGCGGAGGTGG